TATAATGCATAATGCTTCCGAAATCGTAGGTAATATTGAAATTTTCGACAATGGATGAATCATATTTTTTGAAATTGTTTGTTTTATTGGCTACAATATTGTCCCAATTTATGGTTACGTAGTCATCACGATCGGCAGCACTTTGCATGTGGTAAAATCCAAGAGCTGTAACATAATCGAAAATCGTAGTTAGAAATAGCTCCCCCCATCCAAAAAAAAAAAATAACTAGTTAGAAACTACTGCTTACTATGTAAAAGTTCATGCATTATGCGTCCAGGAACGAAACATCCTTGTCCTGTTTCGGACTTTTTCAAATTTAACCTCTGCTTTCCGCCCCGACGACCTACACTTGAGTAACATCCATTATCGTTTGCCTTTGAAAAGAAATAGCAGAAATATTAATTTAATTACGGATTATAAAAAAATTCGAAAAAAACATACTTCAAATTGCACGTAGTCGGTTTCATCACTTCGTTTCTGGAATTGAACACATGAAACATTTTCTATTTTTCGCATAGCATGTAAGATTAAATCAATCTGTTCCGTTGTATGATTTTCAGACAAAACATAGGGAACTTTGTTGTTGGGCCATCTATAATTTTCTCCAACTATTACGTTTTTATCTCCAAAAATCACCGCAAGTTGTTCATCTGTTAATTCCATATCACCTTCAAACCAATCACCATACTCAACATCACTTTCCAAATCTCCCGGCTCATCTATCTCTATATCGGGCATGTCAAAAGGCATACACACTATGCTCTGAGTAAAAATGAAGAACCAAAAATACGGTAAAATTTGCTTCATTTTTAAACAATTAGATGCCGTTTCGTGAAGACAAATCGTACTGAAAAGTTGAAAAAAAAAAGATAAAAAATTAATAAGCATGTACCAAAATCGAATTCATATTAACTTTCATATATATTTTTTATACTGAAAAGTTTTTTTCCAGGAATATTAGCCTCATCTCTACGTTGACAAATTTGACAAAAAATCAATTTTGTCCATTAGGCTTCGAAAGAAAACAAAAGTCATTTAGTTGTTTGTTTCAGGTAGAATTCTGCTTTCGAGGGGAAATTTATTCTCAGGACAAAAATACATATACACTAGATGGGCTGAATACAATTAACTAATTTTTCGAAATAAATGTTCATTTTCAAAAAAAAAATGACCAAAAAGCTATTCACACATTAACATGTGGGATTTAAATGGTTTGATGAAGAGCCAAAAATGTAATTTTCTGATAAAATTGAGCACGGATAAATTGAATCAAAAATATTTTTCAAATAAGTTAAATTCACCGTTCGAATTCCGAATTAAAAAAAAACTGATTTTTCTTTGGCAGCTGGAACTGACACAAATTTGAAAAAAAAGTAAATCAATGCTGTAGGATGCCTCGATTTTGGAAAAATTATTTATTTTTAATTTAATATTTTCACTGTTTTAACTAGAGCATATCTTTTCATTGAACTGTTCACTTCGACTTGTAGACATTATATGATGCGCTTATGCATTCGACTGGCTTAAGTACGGTCTAAGCTGGAAACATGGCAGAAAGAAGGAGAGATAGAGAAAAATACCGAAACTTGTATTGTATGTTAAAACATATTCTAATGATAACAAATGAATAGCGTGAGGATCGTTCGGAAGGTCATGGAATGTATGATTTTCTTCAAATTTTAGTAATTTTTTCGAAATTTGGACCCGTGCCGTCCGGACTGGGGCGTCCTGGGCATCCAAAACAATATGCCACCGGATAGGGCATTGGAAGACGCAGCTTTTATGGGAAGAAACATATTGGCCCATTTGACCTTCAAGGGGTCAAAATCCGGTTAAAAAGTCGAAAAATCGGATTTTTTCACTTTTTGACCCGATTTGAAAGTACAAGGGGTTGTCAGGGGGTCATGGTATGTATGGTGTCCTAAGGGTAATTTTTCATGAGGAATCCAAAAATGGGGTCAATTTTGGGTTTGGGTCGGTTTTTGACCCCATTTTGGGCATTTTAATTTTTTTTGAAAATTTCGACCCGTGCCGTCCGGACTGGGTCATGCCGGGGGGTCCAACCTATATACATATATAGCTATATGTCAGTGGATAGGGCATGGATAGACGTAACTTTCGTGGGAAGAAACATATTTGCCCATTTGACCCTGAATGGGTGTAAGTCCACTTGATAACTTTCGGGTTTCCTTTTAGGGGCGTTTTTGACCCCCAAGGGGGGGGTGGGGGGCGGTCACCGTAGTAGCAAAAAAAATTCGTCTTATTAGGGGCTACAACTTTGCCCGAGAGTGCAAACGCATATCTTCATTCGTTTATGAGATAGTATATTGTGTATGTTTCGGACGGGACTGGAAACGTCATGGCGGCCTAAAAAGCGCAAATATGAATTTGGGCAAAAATGGTTCAAATTATATTTTTTTTGGCCTCTCTACCGATTAAATGCAAAAAATCGAAAATCGGGATGTGACATATTTGAACGTTTACTGGTAAGTTCCTTTTTATTTCAGCTAGTAGTTAGATTGGTACGCCACCTCTTTTCAACACAAATTGAGCGAACTACACACAACCTCAATATGAGACGATTTGACATAGAATTCAGTTTATCCGAAGTCTCATTTATTTTTGGATAAATTTTGGTAAACAAATTTCCTTTTTCAATATTTTTGTGTTATACCGAGTCTCCGAGAGTTTCATATAAGCATGCCATATAGCAGCAGAAAAGACAGTTGAAAGTACGAATTTTTTTTTTCGTGTTTTCGACTGTGTTTCTGCTGTTACATGGCTGGTTTATATGAAACTCTCGGAGACTCGGTATAATGCACAAAAATATTGAAAAAAAATTTTGTCGTGTTTTCGACTGTATTTCTGCTGTTACATGGCAGGCTTATATGAAACTCTCGGAGAATGGGTAAAATGCACAAAAAAATTGAAAAATATTTTTGTCGTGTTTTCGACTGTATTTCTGCTGTTACATGGCAAGCTTATATGAAACTCTCGGAGACTCGGTAAATTGCACAAAAATATTTAAAAAAAAAATTGTTAACTAAAATTTATCCAAAAAAAAATGAGACTTCGGATAAACTGAATTTTATGTCAAATCTTCTCAAATTGAGGTTAGGTGTTTTTTGTGTGTAGGCAGTTGAATGACTTATCTGAGCCGTCCAACTGTTTTCTTCTTGAAAACACACGCATGTATACAAACATTTTTTTTTTTGCTGACACGCCGAACCGCTGTTGGAAATGTTAAAGCTTTATGTTAGTAGTCTAATTAAGACGTAATGACTTTATCACGCGAAATTTAGCTTAAATTGTTGGAAATTTTTTGATACATACGAATCAGATTTTCTGGTTGAAATCAAGCATACCTTAATATTTAAAATAGTCACAAAAAATACATTTTCCGTAAATATTGATTTACTTTTGCTTCGTTCACTTCAGCGTCCATTTGTTCAATTAGGTTCCATTGTCAAAAATACAGTTGAGGTACAAATGTTTCAGAAAAATATTACTTTACAACTCAATTATTCATGTTTTGTTTGTTATTGAATAATCTAAGTCATGACAATGAACAACTGCAAAATGTCACATAATCTAAATCAATGATACAGAAAATAGTCGTCATAACAATTTAAATGATCTAAACGTGATTGAATGATGTTCTAAAACGTGATTGATGAAGTGACTCGGAAATTCATTTCGAAGTATTGTCCATATGTCTTGTTCAATGGCGATAATAATTGATTGAAATTACTTCAATATGTGCAAAACATCAAATAAATCTTTTACTTACCTATTTTCAATCACCTCTGTAAATGATATCACAAAAAAAATACGGCATTTTTTTTTTGCAGAAATCTTTTTCTATTTAGAACATATACACTATGGAAAAATCGGTATTGATTGCTACAATTAGAAGTATGTTTCGAAGTGTTATCATATTTATTCTGTTTTGTTTTCGTCTAGTGGTGATGTGTTTGCAGATGGGCTAATTCAATATAATTCAACACTCGGTAATTGGAATTCAAACACAACAAAAGCTTAAAAGCAACAAAATTGACGCATGACAAAAAATTTCATTTCTCCTATATTCACTTTCTTGAGTTTCATTTACAAAACTCTCTCATAAATGCACATGCCGATGCTAAACTCAGCTCTGGTTTGGTTTAAGTGACAACAATATGGCGAGAATTTTGTATCATTGTAAAATGATATCTAAAGAATTAGAAGTCCCTCAAAACTTCAATAAAATACTACTAAATTGGCATAAGTTGAGGCAAAAAAAAGAACCTGAACGACATAAAAACACAATTGTAAAATAGAGTTAATAAATGACAATAATAAAGATTGAACAAAGAAAAGTGAATGATGAATGATTTTTCTAGATTTCTTTCTCAATCTTTTTGTGTGTAAACTGTAGAAATCAACAAGAATCGAATTCAGGAAGTACCGAAATCGAAATGAATTTTCTCATATAAAAATATATCCATTAATTTGTGTGATTGTGTTTATTTTCTTGTTGACGTGTTTTCTTTTTCAAACATGCTGACCATATGCTTATGGTTAGAATGATGTGTGCTTTAATTACAATGGACAATTATTTTAGATTTTTTTTGTATTAATTTATTTTGTTATTTTGATTGAATTTTATTTTCTTTAACTGGTTTTTTTTTTCATTTGCTAAACAATGTGTTATCTATTTATTGCAACACAAATATAATGAATCAAAAAAATATCTTTCAAGCACACATATAT